TATTTTGAAGTCACCAAGCCTTGGGATAATTTGTTACACAAAAATAGGTAATATAGCTTCTCTCTCAGGGAGGCCTTCTCTACATGAAGATTCTCAGTACCTAGGGGCTTGCACCATTCTAGGTACAAATCAGAGGAGAGAGATTCTGCACCCACCAGTTGAAACCATAGTCTGGGGCTGCCGTTGTGGCTCAGCGGTAGAGTGCTCACCTCACGTGCAAGGCCTTGGGTTCAATCCTCAGCCCCACATAAAAATAAATAAATAAAGGTATTATGTTCAACTACAACTAAATAATAAAAAAGAAAAAAGAAACCATAATCTGAGAAGTGATCTGATTGTATGACTGGGTCATATGCCCAAACTGAAATTAATCACTGTGGCCAGGGAGGATGGAACACACTGATTGAACTTCATAGGTCACATGCCAAGCTGTAGACCCAAGGATGGAGTCAGCCCATCTAAATCACATAAACAGGACCTGATATTTCAAAACCTAGGGTAAGAGAGGATCCTAAAAGCTTCCAGAGAGACAGAGTGGGTTGTTAGGGTGGACCATTTAGAAATCTGTACTAATAAGCTACTGTGGTACATGCCTGTTATTCCAGCGGCCCAGGAGGCTGAGACAGGAGAATGGAAAATTCAAAGTCAGTGTCAGCAACTTAGTGAGGTGTGCTGAGCAACTCAGTGAGACCCTGTCTCTAAATAAAATATAGAGTAGGGCAGGGGATGTGGCTCAGTGGTAAAATGCCCCTAAGTTCAATCCCCAATACCCACCCCCCAAAATAAGTAGTAGTCTATACTGATAAACAAAGTGTAAGAGTAGAAAAAGGATAATTTCAGGCATACAAAGTCTCAAAAATTTACTTCCTATAAATTACTTGGGGACGTGCTCCAACAAAAGAACATAAATCATAGGCTGGGAATGTAGCTTTGTAGTAGTAGAGTGCTTCCCCAGCAGGTGTGATGCCCTGCATTCAATATCCAGAACTATGAAAAAAAACAAAAACAACAACAACAAAAAACAAAAACCCACATATCAAGAAACAGAATCTCTAGCAATACAGAAAACAAGGACAGTAGTCTGGGAATGTAGCTCAGTAGTAAAGTGCTTGCTTAGCATGCATGAGGCCCTGGGCTTGATCCACGGCTATACACATACACAGACTACAACCAAGAAGAGAGAGGTAGGGACTCTCTGACTCTCTGGAATAATAACAAAGAAGTGTTGAAGGACAAGAGCTGTGCAGTTC